GAGAAATCCAAGATCAGGTAGCTACATCTGGTATAGATCTCATGTTGTTTCATAACATGGTCAGAAGAGGCAAAACAAGAGGGCAGCCTCTTTTTATAAAAAACAGCCCACTCTCTGGATACCCAATCCAGTTCCAAGAGAATTAAGCCAGTCCTCAGAAAGGCATCAGTCTCTTTAATGACCCAATCATCTCTTAAAAACCCAACTTCGCAACACTGCCACAAAGGCAATCCAATTTTAACATGAGTTTCAGAAGGGACGAACCATATTCAAACCTTGACATTGTCTCAATTTCCATAGGTTATGACTTTAGACAAGCTTAGCTGAATTCTGTGCTTAGGGTCTCACAAAGCTGTAAGAAAGATGTTGGCCAATCAGCATTGGCATCTGGAGGCTCAACTTGGTAAACTCCACTTCCAGACTCACTGAGGTTGTTGGCAGAATTAATTTCCTTTAGATGTCTGTATCACTGAGCCTCCCCTATGCTGCCCTCAGCTTCTTACTGAGTACTGCCCTCAGATCCTCAAAGCTGCTTGAGTTCTGTGCCATGGGCCTTTTCCACAGACATAATGTGGCATTTTGCTTCTTCAAGGCCTATAGGAGAGCATCTTTTGCTATGGTCATATCTATGACTATGTTGTGTAACATAATGCAATCACAAGTCATAGTTCCTGCCCAAACATAAGGGAGAGTTATACAAGGGTGGGACTCATTAGAGGTCATTCACAACTAGCTTTACTAGGTTGAATTACCAAGTGAAAATATGAAAACAGATGCATCCTTTGTTTTATCACTGTGTCACATGAATATGGTTTCATTGAATAACATTTTCTTGTGTTAAAATTGGCAACTTTTCACATTCATGCTAATACTTAGGTATTTGATCATGTCCTTATATTAATTTTCATATATTTTTGCTTAAATTTTTTTGTTTGGGTGCATTGTATTTTCTATCACAAGTCATTATTAGTGTACAAATAGCATGATAAAAGACTTCTTAAATTTTTGTTGTTATATCAGGGCTTCTTCTATGAAAAGAAGCAAATATATGGGCCTTTTGACAACTGGTTTTGGCTATTCAGAAGCCCTTGTGTCCTTCAGATTCAGACTGTTTTTTAGAATTGAGGCTGGTGGAATTTTACTATCTAAATAAGAGTAATATTTTAAACATTAAAACTTCAAATAAAAATTCCCCCTATTTTAAAGAGTAACATAGATTCATTGTAGAAAATTTGGCAAATATGAACTCAAGCACAGTTAATCCAGTTTTATCAGTTTTCTAGTTTATACTTTACAGTCAGTAAGACCTGGTTTTGAGTGTCAGTTTTCTGCTCTTCTTATTATTTTTGTGACTTTGAGCAATTAACTTATACTCTCTAAATCTTGTTTTTCTCATTTGGGAAAGGAATTAATGATTGTTTTTACTGACATCATTATTGACAGCTAAGCAGGACTTAGTGTCTACCAGGCAGGGATTCTAAACACTTTGCATATTGAATTAGTTCCATTTTAGAGTTAGTGGCAAAACCAATTGTGTACCCAGTCTGTATCTAGATTGTTCTCTTCCATATTTTTTCTCAAGACAATACATGCCTCCTAGAGTTGTGGGATTAAATGTGATGCTTTTTAGCACACAGAATTGTTTTATTAATAATGCATATAAGCATCATTGAGGATGTATTATACACAAACTTCTATATTCTATTCATATAGATTTATTGACATTACAATTCCCCTTTGCTTCTACAGACTAAATTAGAAATCTAAGTGGTTAAAGATCTAGGTGGTTAAAATACACTAGGTTCCTTTTATCCAGCAACTATTATATTTTCCTATTTTTTTTTAGATAACACCTTTATTTAGAGATAATTAGCAATCACAAAATTTGTCCTTTTAAAGAATACAATTTAGAAGGTTTTAATATATTCACAGAGTTGTACAAGCATCATCACTCTTCCAGAACATTTTAGTCATCCCACAAAGAGACCCTTTGCTCATTAGCAGTAGCTTTCTTTTCTCTCCTCCCTCCAGACCTAAGCAACTACTTATCTACTTTATATGTCAGTGGATTTGCCCATTCTGGACATAGATAAATGTTCTTATACAATATGTGGTCTTTGTGTTCAGCTGTTCTTATAGTGTAGTTTTCAAGTTGTATCCATGTTGTAGGATATATCAGTACTTAAATTCCTTATTATTGCCAAATAATATTCCATTTTATGGATATATCACATTTATTTATACATTTATCAATTGGTAATTATTTAGGATGTTTCCACTTTTTGTCTATTAAAAATAATACAGCTATGAACATTCATGTATAAGTTTTTGTGTGACCATATGCTTTTAAATCTCTTGGGTATATACCTAGGAATAGAATTGCTGGGTCATGTGGTAGCTGCTTGTTCAACTGTTTGATGCATTGCCAAACTGTTTTCCTGAGTGCCTATATCATTTTACATTCCCATCAGTAAACATATGAGGATTCCAATTTCTCCACATCTGTCACTGCTTATTGTTTTTTATTATAGCAATCCTAATGGTATGAGATGATATCTCATTGTGATTTTCATTGGTACTTCCCTAGGGATTGCTTAAATTGAGCCGCTTTTCAGGTGCTTATTGGCCTTCTGTAGTATCTTTTTTGGAGAAATGTCTATTCAAGTCTTATGCCCATTTTAAATTATTTAAAAAAATTTTTTTTTGTAATGGAGTTATAAGAATTCTTGATATATTTTGAATATACATCCTTTATCAGTGTTATAGTTTGGATCTTAAATGTCCTGCAAAGGCCCATTTGCTAAAGGCTTTGTTACCAGCCAGTGGTGCTATTGGGAGGTGGTGGAACCTTTAGAGAATATTACTTAGTAGAAGGAAGTTAGGTAGTTGTTGGGGAGAGGGTGTTTTTCACAGCAGCAGAAAGCTAACACAATCAGATACAATAATTTGCAAATATTTTCTCCATTCTGTCGTTTGTCTTTTTACTTTACTTTCTTAAAGGATTGTGCCTCTGTGCATAAAATTTTTAAATTTTGATGCTGTCTAATTTGGTTTTTTTAGTTGCTTATACTTTTAGTGCCATAGCTAAGAAACCATTGCTTAACTGGAGTTCCACAAATATTTATGCTTATGATTTCTTTTTTTTAATATTTATTTTTTAGTTTTAGGTGGACACATATCTTTATTTTATTTTTATGTGGTGCTGAGAATCGAACCCAGTGCCTCACGCATTCTAGGCAAGCGCACTACCACTTGAGCCACATCCCCAACCGCTTATGATTTCTAAGAGTTTTATAGTTTTAGCTTTTACATTTAAATGTGATTCATTTTAAACTAAATTTTTATATGATATGAAGTAGTGGGATAGCTTATTCTTTTTTTATATGAATATTCAGTTGTCCCGACACCATTTATTGAACTGATTATTCATTCCCCATTGAATTGTCCTAGCACTCTTATTGGAAAATAAACTGACAATGAATGTAAGTTTGTTTTGGACTTTTAGTTCTATTCTATATCTTTTAAAGTGATATTTATGTCTCTGCTACTTACTGTGAACTTTACAGTTGGATAACTCTGTTCCTTAGTTTTCTCTCTATAAAATAAGTAATAAACGGTTAAGTACTTCATGGAGTTACTGTGAGGATTAAAAAAGATACTATGTGTAAGATACTATACTTAGCATAGTATCTGGCTTATAAGAAATAATCTGTGATAGCTGATGCCAATATTACTACTGTTACAATTATCATCATCATCACCATCATCATGCATTTAAAAAATTTGATATTATTCCTAGATGTCATTGGTCAGAGTGAACCATTACTGTCCCCGGGGAAGTGGAAGAAAAACACTGAAAGTGAAGAAGAAGAAAACTTCAGTGAAGCAAGAATGGGATGTAAGTCTAGGTGGGATAATAAATAATATAATGTTACTCTGGAGGAATAGACACGATGACAAGGGTCTAGCCTCTCAGAACCATGTTTTGAATGGGGCTCAGTATTTAATATGGTAGAAGAAGTTTCTAGGCATGTTGTATCCTTGATTTTAGAGGAAAAAGCAAAATTCTTTGGGATACTCATGTCCAAGCTCTTTTAAAGAATTATAAATTTCATGAGGCATAAAGTATTTTTTAAAAAAGTCCCTTCTCCTCCACTTTGAGAACTCATTGCTCTAAGGCAACTCTGATTAACCTGTGTCACTGAAGTCTATGAATTTTTTAAATTTTGGTACTTTTTTTAGATTAGCCTTTAATAACCAGTGATACCATAATTATGTGGGTGGCACTTTGGACTGAAAACGTGGGTGAACCTGGCTCTCTTACCCCTTGATTTATTTGTTGCATACCCAGAGGGTAGTCAGATTCAGTACAAGATTCTCTTAAGTACCTGGAACATATGAATCCTGGCTTCTAACCTGAGTATTACCTGGTATTATCTTTTGCAGCTTGATACTTAGGTATGGACATTAGACTTTAGGTGCCTTTACTTTCCATTGTGGAGAGTAACTAGTCAGAGACTAGTTTGGATCTCAGGGATTTTATTTTGGATTTGGAATATTCTGGATAACACTGACTGCCTTAGTCAGATATTTTGGGCAGATCTGATTGGCTAAATAGTTATAAGTGTTGTCTCCTTCAGAATAGTTACTTTGGGAGGTTCAGGATTTATTCATTATGTAACTATTGGTCAAAAATTGAATCAAAACCTATCATTTGAAATTGTGTCAAGAACCTTCCTTGTTTATGCTTTTGTTATCTCCAGTGCTGGAAAAATTTTATGTTTTGGAGGTAGACTGCACTTGGAAAATAGTCATAGATTTTTTGGAGTGAATGGGGAGAGATCAAACTAATTAATAGAATTTTGATAAGAATAGCAAAACAGGTGGAAGAGGTAAGATGGCGGCCCTGCGTGCACTTCTCCTTTGTAGTTAGGCTGTTTTTTCACCCTTTCTGTTGTCTCAGAGCGGCTGCCCCTCCTCAGGCAGCTTCGGAGTCGCTCTTCTACTATAGACTCCTGGGAACCAGCTTCTTCGGTTTTGGTATGAACAGGATTCGGATTCACGTCTTGCCAACCAATCGGGGTAGGATCACCCCAGTGCCCAGGTCTCAGGAGCTCCTGTCTTGTTCATTTACTCATCGCCCGTGCTCCCAACCTCGCCTGGAGGGCCAGGAGTTTTGCATTAAGCATATCCTTGAAGACAAGAATGCACCCTTCAAGCAGTGTAGTTATATATCAACAAAGAATGGAAAGAGATGTCCCAGTGCTGCCCCAAAACCAGAGAAGAAAGACGGGGTGTCCTTCTGTGCTGAACATGCCCGTAGGAATGCCTTAGCACTTCATGCTCAAATGAAGAAGACCAACCCAGGGCCTATGAGTGAAACACTCTTGTGCCAGCTGAGCGCATATGCTAAGACAGAACTGGGCTCTCAGACTCCAGAAAGTAGCCGCAGTGAAGCCAGCCGAATACTGGATGAAGACAGCTGGAGTGATGGGGACCAGGAACCCATTACTGTGGATCAGACATGGAGAGGTGACCCTGACAGTGAAGCTGATAGCATAGACAGTGATCAAGAAGATCCCCTAAAACATGCTGGTGTCTACACGGCTGAAGAAGTGGCCCTGATTATGCGGGAGAAGCTGATTCGTTTGCAGTCTTTGTACATTGATCAGTTTAAACGACTTCAGCATTTGCTGAAGGAGAAGAAGCGTCGATACTTACATAATCGCAAAGTGGAACATGAAGCTTTAGGTAGTAGTCTCCTTACTGGCCCAGAGGGACTTTTGGCCAAAGAACGAGAGAACTTAAAGCGATTAAAATGTCTTCGACGGTATCGCCAACGCTATGGAGTAGAAGCCTTGCTACACAGGCAGCTAAAGGAACGCAGAATGCTGGCCACAGATGGTGCCGCCCAACAGGCCCATACCACTCGTTCTAGTCAGAGGTGCTTGGCCTTTGTGGATGATGTTCGTTGTTCCAATCAGTCTCTCCCAATGACCAGACACTGCCTTACCCATATTTGTCAGGATACGAATCAGGTTCTCTTCAAATGCTGCCAGGGATCTGAAGAGGTACCTTGCAACAAACCAGTTCCTGTAAGCCTCTCTGAGGATCCCTGCTGTCCACTGCACTTCCAGTTGCCTCCTCAGGTGTATAAGCCCGAGCAGGTACTGTCTGTGCCAGACGATCTGGAAGCCGGCCCCATGGATCTGTACTTGAGTGCTGCTGAGCTTCAGCCCACTGAGAGTTTACCACTGGAGTTCAGTGATGACTTGGATGTTGTTGGTGATGGTATGCAGTGCCCTCCTTCACCCTTGCTTTTTGATCCTTCATTAACCCTTGAAGATCATTCAATCAAAGAAATTGCTGAAGGCCCAGTGGATATCTTGGGCCAGATGCAGATGGTTGGAGATGGTTACAGGTCCCAGGGATCCCGAAATTCTGAGAAAGCCTGTGCACCATTGCCTCAAAGTGGATTGGCTACTGCAAATGGAAAACCAGAATCCACTCCTAGCAGTTGATAGTTTGTTCTGGGAACCATATGACTTCCGTGGATTTCACTTTCCCATTCTTCAAACAAGTATCTCTGATCATCTCTCACTAAACAGGGGCAACCCAGTTGTTTTGTTCTGGGTTATAGAATGTCGTAGTTAAATAAAACCATACTTAGGGGGATGGGCCAGTAGTGTCAAAGTTGTGTTTCTTTCTACCATGGGCAAGGAAGATAGGGATTACCTATCTCTGAAATTCAGTATTTGGGACTGTGCCAAAGGGGAAAGTGATTCTTCGTAATGGGATTTCTTAAGTCACAGATAGAAATCCACATAGATGATTAGGTGAGGGTTGTTTTTATAAACGGTGCCGTTGAGATATTGGTCGCCCCAGTGCCTGGTTATCTTTACCTAAAGGCCTACAGTTTAGCTTTTCCTCATCTTCACTTAATTGAACAGTTTGCACCCTTTCTTCAGTGAACTCCCATCCTTATCCTGAGACAGTTAAGGACTGGGCCCACCTTAACTATTCATCTTGCTTGTAATCTATGTAAATTTCTGCAGTGGCTATCTTATGTAAAATATAGTAAAAAATTATTGTATATAGTTTCTATTAAATGTTAAAATGTTATGAAAATGTAAAAAAAAAAGAATAGCAAAACATTTTCTGAAATGGCTTATAATTAGATTTAAAGCAATTTCAAAAGAAAATAGTTCTAAGCAATAGTAGTACTGGTAAAATGATATTTTCCCCCATGAAAGCTAATTCTAAGCATGTCACTTTTTTGTATGCCTGAATTTTACTAGGATTATTAAAAATAGTTGTACCTCTCTGCATCAATGTGTAAGGAATAACAGTTTTTGCCTTAAAAAAATCCTTGATCTAAATACAAATCATGGTCAAAAAATTTAGTTTTGAATATATTGGAAATTATTTTGGTTCAGTTTTCTTAGTATATCCCACCATTTAGAAGTGAAACTCAGCCAGTGATAGTGGTACACTCCCATAATCCCAGGACCTCTGGAGGCTGAAGCAGAATGATTACAAGTTAAAGGCCAATCAAGGTCAATTTAGCAAGATCCTGTCTCCAAATAAAAGATAAGAAGGGGTAGGGATGGAGCCTAGTGGTAGAGGGCCCATGGATTCAATCCCCAGTACTGGGAGAAAAAAAAAAGTAAAATTTTAAATTGTTTTTATTTTCTGCCTTGTTAAATCTGTGACAAAATGACTGATGTCATTTTGGAAAGTGCCAAATTTCAGGACTGCTATTTAGAGCTGTGCATCACATCATTCAAGGGGTTGCTATTAACATGGAATAGGATATTCATGATACTTCCTGGAGTTGTGCAGTGAGATAACCCTGCCATGTTGGTTTAATGCCTTTTATATAGGTCACTGTTTTCATATTTTATAAGGTTATGCAATGCCTATACATTTCATCTCTTATTGTAATAATTTCTATATTTAAGGTATTTGAAGATTACAATTTTAGTTAAATTTACTCATTTTGAATATATATTATCCTTGTTTATTCCTTGTTTTAATGTAACTGAGTTACTTATCTTCTGTAAGACATCTAAAATTGGCCTGTTACTTTCTATAACACTGTAAATAATGTGTTAATTTTATATTGAGAATACTGGTTTCTAGAAAGAAAGAATTTTTGGTATTAGCGTTTTGAATCAATTTTCAGCCATCAGAACCTAGTAAATGTTAATATTTTATAAGAAAACTTTTTTTTTAAAGTGTCTTTTTTTTTTTTGGCAGAATACTGTGAATGATCTAACAGTTCATCGGGCAACTCCTGAAGACCTGGTAAGTTTAATATCAAAAACAAAGTCAGTTGTCATTGTTTCATTTGGTATTTGATTTCTGACCTTCAAACTGGAAACCATAGTGACTTCTTAGGTGTTGTTCAGTTATATTTAATTTTTCTTATGCCTGTATAAAATAAAAAACATATCTTCTGGACTCTTGATTTTACCTAGTTATGTCAATTAATCTTAGAATTTCATTAGATAGATTTGTTTTGCACTTCAAATATCTCTAGTCTAAAATTGCCCTGTATACATCTCTTTTCCTATATGTCGATATCTTCAGCATTATTTATTACTATTTCATTATACAAAAATATTGATCTATCAGTATAATAATTTATCCCTTGAATATGCCATGCTCATATTTCTACATTTGAGCTATAATTCATGCTATTGTCCTTACTTTAACAGTTTCCCCATTTTCTTTTCCACCTGTCTAAATCTTGCTTTGCTTCTTTATCCTAGTTCAAATCCTACCATTTTCTTTTTTGTGAAATTTCTATTATAGGTGTTTTTGTCATTTCAGAATGAATTTTTTTAAAAAAAATATTTTTTTAGTTGTGGATGGACACAATACCTTTATTTTATTTATTTATTTTTTTGATGTCCTCAGGATTGAACCCAGTGCCTCACACATGCTAGGCAAGTACTCTATCACTGAGCGACAACTCTAGCCCCTAAAAAATTAATTATTTTTAATTGACATAACAATTGTACATATTTGTAGGGTTGTTTGACTTGATACACATATGTAAATTAGGGTAAACATCTATCTCTTCAAGCATTTATCATTTCTTTGTGGTGAATATATTCAAATTTCTTCTTTAGATTTTTTGAAATATACATTTTCTTTATCTGTAGTCCCCTTAATGTGCAATATACTGTAGGTTTTTAAAAATGGATTTATTGAGATAAAATTTACATAGCAAAAAATTTACTCTTTGAAAGTGTAAAATTCAGTGATTTTTAGTATATTCACAGAATTGTGCATCCATCATCACTATCTAATTTCAGAATGTTATCATCATTCCCCAAGAAAACCATATGCCCATTAAGTCATTCCCTATGCCTATCTCCTTCCATTCTGTGTCAATGACTCATCTGCTCTCTGTGAATTTGCCTATTGTGGAGTTTTCTTATAAGTGGAATACCATATATGACTTTTTGTGTTTAGTTTCTTTTTCTCAGCATATTTTTTTTCTCAAGATTGATACATGTTGTAGCATGTATATGTACTCCATTCCTTATTATTATTGAATAATATTTCATTGTATGGCTATACCATATTTTATTCATTCATCAGTTGGTAAACATTTGCATTGTTTTTTGTTTTTGGCCATTTTGCTGCTGTTAACATTTGCATACAAATTTTTGTGTGAACTAGGCTGTCAGTTCTTTTGTATACATACCTAGGAATAAAATTTCTGGGTCAGATAATATCTTCATATTTAACTTTCTGAATAACAGCTGAACTGTTTTCCAAAGACACTGTATTATGTTTATTCCACTAGTATGTATGGGGTGTTCAGTTTCTCCACATTATTGTTATTGTCATCTTTTTAATTTTAGTTCTCCTTGGGTATAAAATGCTAGCTCTTTGTGATTTTGATTTACATTTTCCTAGTGAGGAATGATGTTGAAAAGATGATGAATATCCTTTAAAGTGTGTATTGGCCATTTTTAGTTTATTCTTTGGAGAAATATCTGTTCATATCCTTTAGTCAATTTTAAAAGAATTATTTGTGTTTTTATTGTTGAATCATACAATTTCTTTACATATTCTGGATACAAACTCCTTATCCAGATATATGATTTACAGATTTTTCTTTACTTGTCTTTTTACTTTCTTTTTTTTAAATTTTATTTTTTAGTTGTAGTTGGACACAATATCTTTATTTTATATATTTATTTTTATGTGGTGCTGAGGATCGAACCCAGGGCCTTGCATGTGCTAGGTAGGTGTTCTACCACTGAGTCACAGCCCCAGCCCTTTTTTTACTTTCTTGATGGTGTCCATTAAGCATGAAAGTTTTTAATTTTTATAAAGTCAAATCTATCTATTTTTCCTTTTGCCACTTGTACTTTTAGTGTTATATCCAAGAAAACTAACCCATGGTTCATAAAGATTTATCTTTCATTCCAAGAGTTTTATAGTTTTAGCTTTTATAGTTAGGTTTATGATTAATTTTAAGTTTTATATTTTTATATATGGTGTGAAGGAGGGGTTCAACTTCTTTTTTTTTTTACAAGTGATATCCAGTTGCCCAACCACCATTTGTTGAGAAGTCTCTTCTTTTTCCCATTGAATTACCTTGGCAGTCTTGCTGAAAAACCAGTTGTCCATTAGTGGGAGGGTTTATTCTACACTTTCAATTCTATTCCATTAATCTATATGGCTTTCTTTATGCAATATCACAGTTTTGATTATTATAGCATTGTAGTAAATTTGAAGTCTTGGTGTTTGAAATTGCCCAACATTTTTTCTTCTCTGAACTGTGGCTTCATTTATTATGTAAATAAAACAGTGAGTATATGACATCTGTTGCATATCATTTAACCTTATATGGATATACCCAGTCTCTCTAGGCAGATTATTAATGCTTTGGGAGATAGAACGTAATTGTACTTATCTTTGTAGACCTTGTAGTCTTAATCCTATTAGGTACTCCTTAAGTATTTATTGAGAATAATAATGATACCCAATTGACTAAACATTTTTAAAAAAATATTTTTCTATTTGTACATGGTCACAATAACTTTATTTATTTTTATGTGGTGCTAAGGATTGAACCCAGTGCCTCACATATGCGAGGCAAGCACTCTACCGCTGAGCTACAGCCTCTCCCCCTTAACATTTTTTTTAATGAAAAATCGCAAACTGAAGTCAAAGTGGAGACAGAAATATAAAGAACTCCTTTGAAACATCAGTTATTAAATTTTTACTATAGTTGTTTTATTTATCACATTTTCTTCCTTCGCTGAAATATTTTAAAGCAAACTCCAGAGAAAATGTCATTTTATGTCTACATATTGAGCTTGCATTTTAAAAATACAGACTTAAAACATACCAACAGTGCCATTATCATATTCAACAAAAGTAAAAACAATTTTGGGGAAATATTTAGTACATGTTAAAGTTTCTGTAATTGTCTCAAAAAATATTATCTTTGGGTTTGTGTGTGTATATGTGTGTGTGTGTGTGTGTGAATCAGAATCCTTGCATATTTGTTTGTTAACCTTTTAGTGGACAGATTTCTTATTTACATGGTGAAAACTCAACAATACCTTTTGTTAGATGACATATGAAGTTTATTTACGTTCATAGTCCTGAATGCTAGAGTATTGGTAATGTCAGTTATCTGCTTTTATTCTT